AGTGGGGACAGAACATGAGACAATACAGTAACAATACAATACACAAGGGGGGCGAGGGCCCTGATCCTGGGAGCTTACAATCTAGGAGGGAGGGGGAGAGTGGTACAGGAGGAAGTGGCTGTGGGGGATGGAGTGGTAGGAGGAGTGGAGGAGATCAGCAAATTAGGTGAGGGTGGGGTAGGCTTCCCTGAAGAGATGGGCTTTCAGGGTGCGCCTAAAGGTGAGGAGAGTAGGTGATAGTCTGATGGATTGGAGTAGGGAGTTCCAGAGGATGGGTGACACCCTGGAGAAGTCCAGGAGGTGGGCATGGGAGGAGGAGACCAGGGAACTAGAGAGAAGGAGGTCTTGTGAGGAGCGGAGTGTGCGTGTTGGGTGGTACTTGGATATTAGGTTGGTGATGTAGTTCGGGGCAGTATGGTGGACGGCTTTGTATGTCAGTGTTAGGATTTTGAATTTAATGTGTTGGGCAATCGGAAGCCAGTGAAGGGATTGGCAGAGGGGGGTGGAGGACACTGAGTGGAGGCCAGTGAAGGGATTGGCAGAGGGGGGTGGAAGACACTGAGTGGAGGCCAGTGGAGGGATTGGCAGAGAGGGGTGGAGGACACTGAGTGGAGGACAGTGGAGGGATTGGCAGAGGGGGTGGAGGACACTGAGTGGAGGACAGTGGAGGGATTGGCAGAGGGGGGTGGAGGACACTGAGTGGAGGCCAGTGGAGGGATTGGCAGAGAGGGGTGGAGGACACTGAGTGGAGGCCAGTGGAGGGATTGGCAGAGAGGGGTGGAGGACACTGGGTGGAGGACAGTGGAGGGATTGGCAGAGGGGGGTGGAGGACACTGAGTGGAGGACAGTGGAGGGATTGGCAGAGGGGGGTGGAGGACACTGAGTGGAGGCAGGAGGAATTGGTAGAGGGGTGGAGGACACTGAGTGGAGGCCAGTGGAGGGAATGACAGAGGGGGGGTGGAGGACACTGAGTGGAGGACAGTGGAGGGATTGGCAGAGGGGGGTGGAAGACACTGAATGGAGGCCAGTGGAGGGAATGACAGAGGGGGGTGGAGGACACTGAGTGGAGGACAGTGGAGGGATTGACAGAGGGGGGTGGAGGACACTGAGTGGAGGCCAGTGGAGGGATTGGCAGAGGGGGGTGGCGGATACGGAGCGGTTGGAAAGGTGAATGAGTCTGGCCGCAGAATTCAGGATAGACTGAAGCGGGGATAGTCAGCGCGAGGCAGGCCAGTGAGGAGGGAGTTGCAGTAGTCGAGTCGTGATATGATGAGGGACTGGATGAGCTGTTTAGTGGTTTCTGGGGTTAGGAACGTGCAGATTTTGGTGATGTTGCGGAGGCGGAGTCTGCATGTTGCGGAGGTGGAGTCTGCATGTTGCGGAGGCGGAGTCTGCATGAGTCTGTTAAAGATTGGACTTGGGGCTGGAAGGATAGGTTGGAGTCCAGAATGACACCAAGTACTCTGGCCTGCAGGGCGGGTTTGATGGTGGCGTTGTTGGAAGTGATGGAGAAGTCAGTGGGGGGGGGCGCAGGCTGGGGGGAAGACTAGGAGCTCGGTTTTGGAGAGGTTCAGTTTAAGAAAGTGGAGCGACATCCAGTCTGATATGTCCTTTAGTAGGCAGGTGATTTGGGCGGAGACTGAAGGGGTGAGGTGGGGGGTGGAGAGGTAGATTTGCGTGTCATCGGCATAGAGGTGGTAGTTGAAGCCGTGGGAGTGTATGAGTTGGCCAAGGGAGGAGGTGTAGATGGAGAAGAGAAGGGGCCCGAGGACAGAGCCTTGGGGGACCCCAACAGAGAGGGGGAGTGAGGGGGAGGTGGTAGCATTATAGGTAACACTGAAAGAGCGTTGTGACAGGTAGGATGAGAGCCAGGAGAGAATGCAGAATCTCTGAGGCCGAGGGAGTGCAGTTTTTGAGGAGAAGGGGGTGGTCGACTGTGTCGAAGGCCGCAGAGAGGTCAAGGAGTAGGAGCACTAAATAATGGCCATTAGCTTTGGTGGTTAGCAGGTCGTTGGAGAGTTTGAGTAAGGAAGTTTCGGTGTAGTGTAGGGTGGGTTCGGTGGAGTGTAGGGGACGGAAGACGGACTGTAGGGGATCGAGGAGGTTGTTGTCGTTGAGGTGAGAGCATAGGCGATTGTAGACTAAGCGCTCAAGGAGCTTGGAAGTAAATGGGAGCAGGGAGATGGGTCTGAGGTTGTTCGGGTCATTGGGGTTTTTAAGTATGGGGGTGATGTGTGCATTTTTCAGAGAGGAGGGGAAAGTGCCGGAGGAGAGGGAGAGATTGAAGATGTGAGTGAGGGGGAGCGTAGGATGGAGGGGGAGGGAGGTCGTGAGGGGATAGGGTCGAGGGGGCAGGTGGTGAGGATCATATTCCTTTATCAACCCCCCCCCCCCCTTCCTGCCCAGGCAAATTTTCAGCTTTCGGCGCTCTCACACTTTGAGTGACAATTGAGCAGTTGTGCAACACTGTACCCAAATCCCCCCAAATGTCAGGATGGTACAAATCCCCCAAATGTCAGGACGGTACACAAATCACCCCAAATGTCAGGACGGTACAAATCCCCCCAAATGTCAGGACGGTACAAATCCCCCCAAATGTCAGGACGGTACAAATCCCCCCCAAATGTCAGGACGGTACAAATCCCCCCAAATGTCAGGACGGTACAAATCCCCCCCAAATGTCAGGACGGTACAAATCCCCCCAAATGTCAGGACGGTACAAATCCCCCCAAATGTCAGGACGGTACAAATCCTCCCAAATGTCAGAACGGTACAAATCCCCCCCAAATGTCAGGACGGTACAAATCCCCCCAAATGTCAGAACGGTACAAATCCCCCCCAAATGTCAGGACGGTACAAATCCCCCCAAATGTCAGGACGGTACAAATCCCCCCAAATGTCAGGACGGTACAAATCCCCCCCAAATGTCAGGACGGTACAAATCCCCCCAAATGTCAGGACGGTACAAATCCTCCCAAATGTCAGAACGGTACAAATCCCCCCAAATGTCAGGAGAGTACAAATCCCCCACATGTCAGGACGGTACAAATCCCCCCAAATGTCAGGAGAGTACAAATCCCCCCAAATGTCAGGATGGTACAAATCCCCCCAAATGTCAGGAGAGTACAAATCCCCCCAAAATGTCAGGACAGTACAAATCCCCCCAAATGTCAGGACGATACAAATCCCCCCAAATGTCAAACTGGCCTCCACTCAGTGTCCTCCACCCCCCTCTGCCATTCCCTCCACTGACCTCTGCTCAGTGTCCTCCAACCCTCTCTGCCAATCCCCTCACTGGCCTCCACTCAGTGTCCTCCACCCCTCTCTGCCAATCCCTCCACTGACCTCCACTCAGTGTCCTCCACCCCTCTCTGCCAATCCCCTCACTGGCCTCCACTCAGTGTCCTCCACCCCTCTCTGCCAATCCCTCCACTGACCTCCATTCAGTGTCCTCCACCCCTCTCTGCCAATTCCTCTACTGGCCTCCATTCAGTGTCCTCCACCCCTCTCTGCCAATCCCTCCACTGGCTTCTATTCAGTGTCCTCCACCCCTCTCTGCCAATCCCCTCACTGACCTCCACTCAGTGTCCTCCACCCCTCTCTGCCAATTCCTCTACTGGCCTCCATTCAGTGTCCTCCACCCGTCTCTCTGCCAATCCCTCCACTGTCTTCCATTCAGTGTCCTCCACCCCTCTCTGCCAATCCCTCCACTGACCTCCACTCAGTGTCCTCCACCCCTCTCTGCCAATCCCTCTACTGGCCTCCATTCAGTGTCCTCCACCCGTCTCTCTGCCAATCCCTCCACTGGCCTCCACTCAGTGTCCTCCACCCCTCTCTGCCAATCCCTCCACTATCTTCCATTCAGTGTCCTCCACCCATCTCTCTGCCACTGACCTCCGATTGCCCAGATAATGAAATTCAAAAAACTAGCTACAAAATACAAAGCCATTCACAACTCTGCCCCCAGCTACATCACCGATCTTGCCTCTAAATATTACCCAAACATCCTCCCAAGACCTTCTCTCCAGCTCTTTTGTCTCCTCCTTCCATGCTCATCTTCAGGATTTCTCCAGAGGCTCTCCCATCCTCTAGAACCCTCTACCTCAGTCTGGCTATCTCCTGCTCTGGCTGCCTTTAGGATATCCCCGAAAACTCATGTCTTCAGGGAAGTCTATACTGCCTCCAATGACCTGAACTTTATCACTTTTATTATCTATTATTAGATTGTAAGCTCTTATGACCGGGGCCCTCTTAACCCTCTTGTATTTTATTGTATTGTGACTGTCCTGTATAATAATAATTTCCCTAATCAATGTCCTACTACAGGCTGCTGAGGTTCCAGGGCTGCACATCACATCCCAAAGGGCCGAAGGTTGGGCGTCAGGGAGTTAGCTGGTCAAGAATGATTGATCAAAGTCCCTCGGTAGGTAGCTAAGGCTTGTTCCACCATAGAAAGGAAAGTAAGGAGGCCCAATTTCCTGCCCTCCTGAACCTTTATTCACCCCCTTGACGTATTTAAAGCTTTCTATCATGTCTCTCCTTGACTTTCATTCCTCCAGACTGTACTAAGTTCCTGAAGTCTCTCCTGATATGTTTTGTCCCTCAGATCTTTCACCATTTTTTGTTGCTCTTCTCGGGACTCGTTCTATCTCATCAATATCTCCAGAACTGGACACTACATTCTAAAAAGGAGGTCTAACTCATTCAGTGGGCAACCAACTGAAGTCAAGAAATCTTTACCAAATAGAAGACTCACACCAACATGAAGTGAAAAGCTAGGGATGGATTATTGGTTCTCTTTAATAACCGCATTCTGCACAATTATTTCAACTTTTGATGTCTTTCTCAACCAGAGGTAACAGAAGTGGTTTGGCAGCTTAGAAAGTAAGAATCAGCAAAATATGTCAAATTCCACCAGTTTCCACCCCAAATATTTCCTCCTCATTGGGATTCCTGGCCTGGAGGACTCACATCTCCTGATCTCCTTCCCATTCTCCATCATGTATATTCTGTCACTTCTGGGAAACTCCACCTTGATTTTGGTCATCTCGGCCAGCAAGAGTCTCCACCAACCCATGTATATCTTCCTCATGATGTTGGCAATCAGTGACGTCCTCTTGAGCTCCACCACCGTACCGAAGACCCTCGGCATCTTCTGGTTTGGTAATCATGAGATCTCTTTCATTGGATGCCTCACTGAAGTATTCTTCATCCATTTCAATTTTGGTACCGAATCAGCCATTTTGCTGTCCATGGCGTACGACCGTTACTGCGCCATATGTCACCCTTTAATGTACGCTACAACTCTCACCAACTCCTTCATACAGAAGACAGCCATGGTGGCCCTTTTCAGAAGTGTCTGCATTATTACCCCATTGGTTTTTCTTCTCAATAGATTGTCTTTCCAGCGAAGCAACGTCATAGAGCACACCTACTGTGAGCACATGTCTGTGGCTAGATTGGCGACTTCTAATATAAAGGTCAATGTGGTGTATGGGCTGGTCATAGCCGCCTGTTCCTCCGGTGTGGACTTGGTCCTTATCATAGTTTCCTATGCTGCTATTATCTCAGCAGTTCTAAAACTCTCATCCACCGAGGCTCGTTTCAAAGCCTTCAATACATGCGTGTGCCACCTCTGTGTCATCGTTCTCTTCTACATACCGGCATTTTTTAGCTTCATAGCTCATAGAGTTGGCCACAGACACGTCTCTCAGCAGTTCCACATCATCTTCGCCAACCTCTATGTCCTGGTCCCACCGATGATGAACCCCATCATCTACGGCATAAAAACTAGAGAGATTCGCCAGAGGGCCTTGGCCATGATTTGTAGAACGACATCCATTGTCTTCCAGTGAAAATGTTTTTATGTTTTTACAGGTTTGATAGCAATATAAAAAGCGTATGGTATCCAAGAGTAGATCACAGGAGATCAAGTAGCATGCGAATCCCACTGACAGGGAGACTCTCGTAAAAGGATGACGAGTTTCGAAGGGAGGCCCCTTCTTCCTCAGAGCCAACAAGATAGAGATTGCCCTCTTCTATATATATGACTTGTAAGTGTGACATTTGTATAGACACTCCCATATGGCCCGGATGTGTCCCATACTCTTCATTCAAGTCAATAAAGAGATGAATCTTAGAATTGAGTAATGGCCAATTTCAAGGCTAATAGGCAGGAGAATTTCAAAATTACATAACGGATCCTCTTCCTTGATGAGGGTCTGGTATGGAGGGGCTGCACAAAAAATGGCATTTGTATTTTAGGAGAGACCCCATGCAAAAAAAATGAAAAAAGTTCCCTTTCTGATCCACACCACGCCATATGCCTATCACGTACCTGGTGATGGAGGCCAATGGAGAGAGGGCTTCCCTTGCGGCTAAGTTCCGGACTCCCCTGAGAGTGGGACAGCGGGAGTCAGGCCCAAAGTTGCACAGGTCGCCTGTAGGAGTGCTGGTTGGTGGTCCACTCAGAAGCACAGCTGGTGCACGGAGATAGGCCTGCAGACAGGAGGCGCCTGTGTGTGGTATGTAAGCCCTTCTGGGATTTGGATGTTTACTGGGTAGTCGGTTCAAGCCAAGGTCAGGTACCAGGTGGGAATCAGAGCAGATGTAGTCAGATGGGATAGCCGAGGTCATACACAGAGGAGAGAGAGAGAGAGAGAGAAAGAGAGAGTATCCGTAAGCCAAGCCGAGGTCAGATCAGGGGTAAGGCAGAGTAGACAGGTCCAGGAGCAAGCCGGGTTGGTATCAGGAAATCACAAGTCAGAATCACAGGAAACAGGAACCAGGAGCAGGGCAAGGGGAACTAGAGATCATCCAGCAACTAGAGGAAGTTATGAGCCTCCTTATAAAGGCCGTCTAGCACCAAACTGAGGCTGATGTGTACTTCTGCGGCCATGTAGAGTACTGGCAGAAATGCCAGGTCTTCCAGAACTCCTGCCGTGGACAGGACTCTGACAATGCCCTCACCATTGGAGAAGGGGGAGACCTAGAGAAGTACCATGTCCCCATGTTGATGAGAACATGGGCCTCTTCCTTACAACCCTGGCCTGGTGGTTGCAGGGGGTCTGTATATGGTGGGCTTAGTGGGATCTTGAAGACCCATGAAATCAGCCATTCATCGAGTAAGTAAAGCCATTACCTCCGAACAAGTAAATTGTAGTCTGAACATGGGTTAGGACCGAACCGGGAACTCAGTGGGTTAGAACCGAACCAGGAACTCAGTGGGTTAGGACTGAACTTAGAACTCAATGGGTTAGGACCGAACCAGGAACTCAATGGGTTAGGACCAAACTCAGAACTCAGTGGGTTAGAACCGAACCAGGAACTCAGTGGGTTAGGACTGAACTTAGAACTCAATGGGTTAGGACCGACTCAATCAATGGGTTAGGACCGAACCAGGAACTCAATGGGTTAGGACCAAACTCAGAACTCAATGGGTTAGGACCGAACTGGGAACTCAATGGGTTAGGACCAAACTCAGAACTCAATGGGTTAGGACCGAACCGGGAACTCATCCTTAGTCATCATCTCTTAGTCGTAAGGAAAGAGACAGCACACATACAGTATGAGAAGACATGCATTTTATTACTTTCAGGATCATTCATTTTTGTGGGACTTTGATGACATTCATCTGAGGAGATACAGATAAGGGAACCTTCGATGAATGGTACATTCTTGAATGCTGAATTCTGAATAATTGCTCAAAATTCACACAACTGTTGTGCTATATAATTTCAAATGTTACATAGTTAGTCTGGCTGAAAAAAAGACAAAAGTCCATCCAGTTCAACTATAAAAAAAAAAAAGTTATAATCCTCCACCCACAGTTGATCCAGAGGAAGGCAAAAAACCCAGCAAAGCATGATACAATTTGCTCCTGCAGGGAAATAATTACTTCCTGACCCCCCCGAGAGGCAATCGGATATTCCTGGATCAACTTTCCCTATAAATGTTATATCCAGTTATATTCTGTGTATCCAAGAAAGGATCCAGGACTTTCCTACAGCAATCCACTGAGCTGGTCACACCCAACTCTGGAGGGAGTCTATTCCACATTCTCACGGCTCTTACTGTGAAGTTAGTCAATATTTAAAACCAACAGGTATTGCAGGATGACCAACCCTCAATGCTTTTTCACAATCCATCCATCCACCTCCCAACCTTCATTTTCAAGTTTCCAATTTATAGAATTATTGTTCCTTTGATTGGAGTTCTATGATTGGCTAAGGGCAAGATATTCTGGGCTGATCATTCTTGTTGTGGTGCCTCGTGGCAGGTGATGAAGGCTCATCTAAGGCACGGGGCCTAAGAGACAGTTGGTTTTCACTAGCGCTCCTGAAGGTGGGGATGGGCCTGAGACCCTACTGGTCTCGGCAAACTGTCACCAAGTTGTGGCCCTAAGTGTCTGCACCAAAGGAATAGCAGGAACAGAACAGCTAGCTTGTGAGGACTGTACACTAGGAGGCATGCAGGAAAATAGTCAGGTCCAGGCAAAGGTTAGGGCAGGCACAAATGAGGGAGTAGTGAGGTTCAGGCAAGGATTGATGGCAGGCAGCAATCAAGAGAGTGGCCAGGTCATCAACGGTCAGGCAATCTCACGGGCAAGTAGCATAACTCTTCGCACAAGGGTAGCTGTTAGAAGACATGACAGGAATTCTGCGAGTACCATTGGAAGTCCTTTCAGGGAATCTAAGAGTACCATTGGCAGTCCTGGATGTGATTCCAAGAAAGCCATTGATGGTCATGGCAGGGATTCTGAGAGTACCATTTGAAGTACTGGATGTGATTCCAAGAAAACTAGTGATGGTCGTGGCAGGGATTCTGATTGTATCATTAGAGGTCCTGGCAGGGATTCTGAGTGTAAAACTGGCAGTGATTCTGAGAGTACCTTTGGTGGCCATGGTAGAGATTCCGTAAGTACCATTGGAAGTTCTGTCAGAAATTCTAAGAGTATCATTGACAGTCCTGGATGTGATGCCAAGAAAGCCATTGATGGTCATGGTAGGGATTCTGAGAGTACCATTGGCAGAACTGGATGTGATTCCAAGAAAACCATTGATGGTCATGGCAGGGATTCTGAGAGTACCATTAGAAGTCCTGGCAGAGATTCTGAGAATAAAACTGGCAGTGATTCTGAGAGTACCTTTGGTGGCCATGGCAGAGATTCCGTAAGTACCATTGGAAGTCCAGGCAGGAATTTTGCAAGTCATGTTGGAAGTCCTGACAAGGATTCTGAGAGTAACGTTCTAAGTCCTGGCAGGGATTCTGAGAGTACCACTGGTGGTCATGGTAGAGATTCTGTGAGTGCCATTGGAAGTCCTGGCAGGGATTCTGAGAGCACCATTGGAAGTCCTGGCAAGTTCTGTGAATAAAGTGGTGTCCTAGCAGAGATTCTGTGAGCACCATTGGAAGAACTTGGCAGGGATTCTGAGAGCACCATGGGAAGAACTGGCAGGGATTCTGAGAGCACCATTCTGAAGAACTGGCAGGGATTCTGAGAGCACCATTGGAAACCCTGGCAAGAGTTCTGTGAATCCATTGTAAGTGTCCTGGCAGAGATTCTGAGAGAACCACTGGTGGTCATGTAGAGATTCTGTGAGTGCCATTGGAAGTCCTGGCAGGGATTCTGAGAACACATTGGAAGCCCTGGCAAGAGTTCTGTGAATACTGTTAGAAGTGTCCTAGCAGAGATTCTGTGAGCACCATTGGAAGAACTGGCAGGGATTCTGAGAGCACCATTGGAAACCCTGGCAAGAGTTCTGTGAATACCATTGTAAGTGTCCTGGCAGAGATTCTGAGAGAACCACTGGTGGTCCTGGTAGAGATTCTGAGAGTACCATGGTGGTCCTGGCATAGAGATTCTGAGAGCACCATTAGAAGTCCAGGCAAGAGTTGTGAGAGCACCTTTGAAGTGTCCTGGCAAGAGTTGTGTGAGATACCATTGAAGTGTCCATGGCAGGGATTCTGAGTATACCAGAACAGTGCCAGTGTCTTGCTATCATTGGCCAACTAGGATAAATATATTTGAAGCTGCAATCCTTTGGAAATGACCACTTTTGTCCCTTCAGGAATGGTTTCATTAGGTCTAAAAAGCACAGCAGCCCAAAATGGAGTTCAGTGTGTGGATGACGGTAACATCTCTTGTTTAATTTTTATGCAAACATTTCCATAGTCACACTCCGTACCAACATGGTCACCTTACTGGGATATGGTCTTTGAAGTTACAAATGGTCATGACAAGTAACACGTGGACTGGTGTTTATATACCAGGCACACAGTATGTGATATCTCCATTCTAGTTAGGTAGCCATGGACGGGTCCAACACATATGACTACATCAACTATTAAAAGGAGACCTTGTGTGCTGCCATGATGACCTGATCACTTCACAAAGTGCTGTCAGAGGGTGTGTGTGTGTGTGTAGGGGGGCTGTAAAGAGGACAACTCACTGGCACTATCATATGGATATCTCGGGGGGAGTAGATACAAGAACCCCAAAATACAGTATGTCTAGATAAAGTTTATTGGGCCCAATGCTTACTTGTAAAGACCAACTTCTTGGCGAGGTTCCTCGGGGGCTCCTTCATTAAAGCCACAATACAATATATCCAATGGAACTTAAAATTATACACAGAACATGTAAAGATCCAGGAACACAGGAGAAGGTGGTGGTGATGGATGGACTTATAATATGAGGAC